CGGGAGGTCGCCCCCCCCCCCCTCGGCAATCCACCTCGACCCTCGAGCTGGCGGGCGACGAGCGGTAACAAAAACCTCTGGGCTGTCACCGGGGGGCGCCTGTCCATGGGGCGGCTGGAAAGTCTCACTGCACCGGCCTTGCAGGCGTGCTGCAGCGAATTGCTCCGTGGATTCGGCGTCGATGTTTGCTCGAAACGGCGAGGGAAAAACGACATGAATTGAACGTGAATTATTTTTGGTCTTCATTCCTGGCCCAAACAAAAACCGCATGAAATTCACCTCGAAATCCGGAACAAGTTTCTCCAGGACACTCCGGGCCCATCCGATCGTTTTCCGAACGAAATCCGCTCTGCAAGGTTGGCTCCATGAAAAGTCCATACCCTTACGTTAGCACGCCAAGGTATAAACTCTCCAGCCGCCCCTCGGTGACGGGGAGGTTATGTTATATCGCGCTTCGCCCGCTAGCTCGAGGCTGGAACCTGGATCCTGGATCCTCGACCATGGACTTGAGGAAAGACCGACTGTCCTGGCGTTCCCATAGGCCTGCCACATAATGTTCTTAGAACCGAGCACGTTCGAAGAACAAGCACACCGTGTCCATACCATGGAACCGATGTGTCCAAATCAGACGGTCCCTGCCATAATAATCTAAGAGCACTTCGTGCAGACCACAAACAAAAATATTAGGAAATTGTTTGGTGGGCCTATAGGAAAGCCAGGCCCTACGGCCTTCTGAGAAGTGTCCTGAACCTTCCCCGAGGACGCAGGAAACTTCTCAGCAAGCGCGAGGGCTTTAGAGGAGCCCCGCCGCATTCTGAGAAGGCCTTCTCACTCCGGTGCGGCGTCGATGTCTTCGCCCCTGACCATCGGGCGGGTGGGAATGGGGAATGGAGAAAAGGGACCTGAAGTTAAGTCGGGCATGTCCCCCTGCGAGGGGATCTGAAGGGGAATTTTGGACGGAAAAAAAAATACACCAACAATTACCCAAAATGCTCAAAAGTAGTAAAACAAATCGTCCCCATCTTGCTCCTGCAGGGGGGCAGGCACGACTTAAACCTGAAGGCGCCCCGGAAGTAGGGCCCCGTTGGGGGCCGGCAGGGATCCTTACACGAGCCCTAAATGGACCCTTCGGGGCCTGTTTCTTTGCCCCCACTTCAGCCATTCCCAATTTGAAGGGGCCCCAGGACACACAAATGAATACACACAAACAAAAACATCCCCTATAGATTCGCATATTTGTTTGGTTCTCGTCTCCCCCCACACTCCCCATAGTTCCCCATATCTTCGGGGGAATCGACGATGAATGGTGTCTGTGTGTGCTGGTCCCTCCTGACTCTTCGCTCCCAACTAGGCCACTCCCAATTACCTGGCAGATTGAAGACTCGGGTTCGGGGGACTCGGGTCGGACCGACGGGGCCATCATGAGAATGACGAGACCCAATCCGACGTTTGACGCGAACTCCCGCTGCAAACGCCCCACGAAAACTACATCGTCAAGATCCAGGACGCGGTCGTCAAAAACATCGGACAACCCGAATTCCAGCGCACTGAAGTCGCACTAGAAGAAGCAAAACAAAAACATGCCTTGCACGCAAACTGTTGGCGTTCCGCGCGGATTTCGTGGATGTGCGCTGGACCCCCTCCCCGGCGCGCGGAGTGCGCCAGGGGCGGCGCGGGAGGCGCCGCCGAGGGGGCCCAGTGCCGAACCAAAAACTCCGCGCGGAACGCCAAAACATTATGTTTAGAGCATCTCCTCTTGATCGAGAACTCGCCACCCGCCCCTGACCAGGTGGCGCCCCCCCCCCCCGGGGAGTCGCGGGGCGTCCTTGTCCCGGGACCCGCCGCGCCGGTCGCGGCTGCGCGAGCCGCGCTGCCGCTCGCGTTCCGGGCTCTGGTCGCGGTCCTTTTCGCGCTTGGGACCCTTCTTGGAGGGCTCGTCCTTGGCCTCCTTCTTCCGTTCCTTGCAGGGGGCCGAAACTGAGATGTTCTGTGAACAGTTCGCGCTATCCACGGGAAATTCAAAAGAAATTATATGGTGGCCCCCTTGGCAAACCAGGACGCTTCGCCACTGCTTTCACTCCTTGCCGGAGGCCGAGACAGAAACGAGGAAGGAGGAACATTGGCATGCGCTCTCGGAGGTCCGCGCGGCTTTCCTGGGTCGGGGTTGGCCCTTCTTGGCGGGTTCGTCCCTCGGTTCCGTCTTTCGCTTCCCCTGCGCAGAGGCCGACCGTGCCGGCATCCCTACAGGCCTACTAGTCTACTGCGGCATGATCTCAGAACGACAACACGGCCGAACAACACAACTATCCGAGCATCTCAGAACACAACATCTCAGAACGACAAACGGCCGAACATCTCAGTGATCTTAGGACGTGAGCCGACTGTCCATCAAGCAACGCAATCTCGGCCAAAAGTGGTATGATAACATGTCACGCAAACGACAAGGCTTAGCCTGGCGAAAGACCCTATCATATGCAGTTGTGCATACCGCGATTGTGAATACCATCTTCGCCCGCGCTCCCTATGTGGCCTCGGCTTCCAGCTGGAGCCCGACATGCTCAGGGACACGTTCGTGGCCGTGTTCGCGGGCGCCGACGACGACAAGGACGGCGCCCCTCTGACCGAGGAGCAGAAGCAGGAGAGGGCTTTGAGAGCCATGTGGGAGGAAGTGGCGTTGCACGTCGACAAGACGAAGTACGACGCCCAGGCGCGGTTGTTCAAGCAACACAACTATGGGGCCACGATCCTCGTGAGGGGTGTGCCGAAATGGCCTGGGGCCGCCATGCGAACCCTGTCACAAGCGCCTTCGGTGGAGCTCCCTATGGGGCTACGATCCCCGTGATGGGTGTGCCGAAATGGCCCGAGGCCGCCATGCAAACCCTGCAACTTGAGCCTTCGGTGGAGCTCCCTATGTGGCCATGATCCTCGTGAGAGGTGTGCCGAAATGGCCCGAGGCCGCCATGCGAACCCTGCCACTGGGGGCCTTCGGTGGAGCTTCCTATGGGGCCACGATCCTCGTGAGGGGTGTGCCGAAATGGCCCGAGGCCGCCATGCGAACCCTGCCACTGGCGCTTTCGGTGGAGCTCCCTATGTGGCCATGATACTCGTGAGAGGTGTGCCGAAATGGCCCGAGGCCGCCATGCGAACCCTGCCACTGGGGGCCTTCGGTGGAGCTGCCTATGGGGCCACGATCCTCGTGAGGGGTGTGCCGATATGCCCCGAAGCCGCCATGCGAACCCTGCCCCTGGGGCCTGCAGTGGAGCTCCATATGGGGCCATGATCCTCGTGGGGGGTGTGCCGAAATGGCCCGAGGCCAGCATGCGAACCCTGCCCCTGGGGGCCCTCGGTGGAGCTCCTTGTGGGGCCACGATCCTCGTGAGTGGTGTGCCGAAATGGCCCCGGGTCCGCCATGCGAACCCTGCCAATGGCGCCTTCGGTGAAGCTCCCTGTGTGGCAATGATCTTCTTGAGGGGTGTGCCGCAATGGCCCGGGGCCGCCATGCGAACCCTGCCCCTGGGGGCCTTCGGTGGAGCTTCCTGTGGGGCCACGATCCTCGTGAGGGGTGTGCCGAAATAGCCCGAGGCCGCCATGCGAACCTTGCCACTTGGACCTTCGGTGGAGCTCCCTATGGGGCCACGATCCTCGTGAGGGGTGTGCCGAAATGGCCCGAGGCCGCCATGCGAACCCTGCCACTGGGGGCCTTCGGTGGAGCTCCCTATGTCGCAACGATCCTCGTGAGGGGTGTGCCGAAATGGCCCGAGGCCGCCATGCGAACCTTGCCGTTGGCGCCTTCGGTGGAGCTCCTTATGAGGCCACGATCCTCGTGAGGGGTGTGCCGAAATGCCCCGAGGCCGCCATGCGAACCCTGCAACTGGAGCCTCCGGTGGAGCTCCCTATGGGGCCACGATCCTCGTGAGGGGTGTGCCGAAATGCCCAAAGGTCGCCATGCGAACCATGCCACTGGGGCCTTCGGTGGGGCTCCCTATGGGGCCACGAAACCATGTACTGGGTGGGTGAAACGCAGGGAAGAGGGAGGAGGGAGGAGGAGGAGGACGAGGAGGAGGAGGAGGAAGTATTGGGAGGAGGGCGGGGAGGAGGAAAGAACGCGGGGCGCCGTCTCTTCAAAACGAGGACCCAACACCACAGGATGGTTGGGAAAACTCTGACATTCCGTGGTGGGCCCTTTGGCAAGCCTAGAAGCTTCGCCACTGCTCGATCCGTGCCGGAAGCTGATACAGAGAGGAGGAGAACAAACAAACATTAGGTCGGGCATGTCCTCCTACAGGCGGATGTTGGACAACACATGAAAATAGACCAAACATGCGCTCAAAAAAATACAACGCTAGTCAAAAAATCGTGCCCATACTATGTGTTGACTACTGTTGAATACCATGTGACGCCCCTCGCGGGGGTAGACACCAAGTGGACCAAGTTTAGGTGATGGTTCGTCACGCTGTCACTATGTTGGCTTGGCTTTGTCGTTTGACTGTTCCCTTTTCATGCGCTACGTGGCTCACGGATCCACATGTATGCCTGATTGCTGTCACACAGAAGCGAGATGAATAGTCACACGCAACGTATGAATAAGTAAAGAATATTGCGTAATTCGACTTTACACCCTCGCAGTTCCAATAGGATTTGTTGCGGTTTGCATACGCGCGCGACCTGTAGGATGCGTGCGTGGTATAATCGGGGGTGGGGTATTTGAGTTCGAAGGAATGGGAACGACGGAACAAAAAACGATTACATGCAGTACTATTGGTTTCAGAGATTACGCTGTCTCGCTGCGCAGCAAGATTTAGCACACTCTGCAGACGCGCGAAACTGATCCGAAACGTTTGGGGCATCCTAAGCCCTCCACGGGCGTCCCAAGCGTTCTTGGACTGTCTGGATCTCCCCGGATACGCCCGGAGCGTCCTGGGACCTCCTGAGGCCTCGTGGGACCTCGAAGGCATCCTGGGACCTCCTGGAGCGTCCCAGATACTCCTGGGGATTCCCAAGGCCTCCAGGGGCGTCCTGGAGTCTCCTGGGGCTCCCTGGGTCCTCCTGAAGACTCTGGAGCCTCCTGGCGGCTCTCTAAGAAGCCACGCGGGGGGCCTCAAAATTGACGACAGTTTCAAGGATGGGAGCCTTCCCGATGAGAAAGAAGGCGCGGTGGACGTTGAAAAATGACGACAGGGTCACAGTTGAGGCCCAAAACCGACTTTGCGGTCCCCCGCCAGAATCCGGGTCCTGCATAGTACGGTGCGATTTGCCCCCTCCCCGCTCCCCAGGAGGGCTAGTTTTTGGGTTTTCGCTGGTAAGAAACACTCCCCCCCTCTCGGCGGTGACGGAGGGCAGGAGGCGGGGGTGGGCGGGTTGGCAGGGGGGCGGGGTGGCTGGTTGGGCTGGCTGGGCTGGGATGGCTGGTTCGGCCGGTTGGGCTGGTGATGCTAGTTGGGCCGAGTGGGCTCTGGGTGGGCTGGCTGAGCTGGCCGGTTGGGCGGGCAGGGGCAATTGGCTTCGACTCCTCCCGAGGAGGGTCACGCCCGACTGAAACCAGACATCGGCATACGGGCTCCTCGGGTCGACGCCGGGCCTCCCGCTCCGCGGGAGGCGCGGGGCGCGCCGGGGCTTGCCCCGGGAGGCCCTGCGCCGGCCCCAGGAGTCCGCGCGGACATCCAAACGGTTGTTTGTCAAGTGTAGTCTTAGGTCGGGCACGTCCTCCTACAGGCCGATTTTCGGCGAAAATCAACCATACTCCAAACATGTTCCAAACATGGTCAACAAATACAAGAAAATCGTCTCCAGGTTATTCTTCTACTATTTTTGCATATTTCTTATGTGCAGGGACAGGCCCGACTCAAGTGTAGATTTTGTTCTCGTCTGTTGTCGGTGTCTTCTGGGTGCGGGGCGGCGGCATGTACAGGTGGGAGGGTCTCGTGCGTTGGAACACCTCGCACTGTGGCCCATTGGCCGCCTCGACCCCGCTAGCGGAGTGATCGCTCGGAGACCCCCATCAAGCCCTTCGGAGGTCAGAAAGGGGACAGAGAAGAGAAGGGTTCGGTCGGGCGTGTCCTCCTACAGGCGGATTCTGGGCGAAAAATAAAGATAGCCAAAACATACGCAAAACTAGTCAAACATAGTCAAAACATCGTTCCCGGACTATGTTGTTTCACAGTTGCTCAACATTCCGCCTGTAGAGGGACACGCCCGACGTAAGGGCAAGACGACGAGGACAACGACGACGACTTCCGGCGGCCCGCGCGGACTTCCGGGGTCGGCGCTGAGCCCACCCCCCTCCCTCTCTGGGGGCGACAGGCGTGAGATGAACTTCGTGCATTGGGAAGTCCAACCTGCTTCAAACAAAAACTGCGTGCATTGGGAAGTCGAACCTGCTTCCCAAAAATTTGACAGGTTCGAGATGAACTGCGTGCATTGGGAAGTCGAACCTGCTTCCATAAGGAGGAAGCAAGTGAGTATCGTCTAACCGATCCCCATCCTCAGCGGCGTGGCCTGGGCCCCACAGGCCGATTTGCCCCTCTAGATGGGGATACGGCTCGCTCCCTTCGGGTTTCGAGAGGTGTCTCCCCAACTGGGGTGGAAATTTGGTGGGGGTCTCGAAGGGGGTGGGGATGAGGATGGGGATCGGTGCAACGACACCGAGCAGGTTCGACTTCCCAATACACGCAGTCCCCCTCTGGGGGCGACAGGCGCGCCCAGGGAGGGGGGGCGCTGGAGGCGCCATCCGACGACCCGAATTTGACCCGGGCTTCGGTTTTTGTTTTGGGGGGGGGGTACGGGATCCACATGTTTCTTCAGTGTTCCCAGACCCCCCCACCACTGGAAACGAAGGGCAAATCGAGGCCTTCGGGTTGGGCTGGGGTGGCTTGGTGGGTGGTGAGCGTCGGGTGCACAGCTCGTTCTACATCGGGACCAAAGCAGACCTGTCGGTGGTGGACAAACCTCCCTTCATTAAAC